ACCATTCACAATAGTACAAATTTTTATCGATCAAGTTACACAATAGCAAAATAAAAGATGTTCGACTCGATCGACAAATTTCTATTCTACTGCCAGTCGACACTCGCAATAGGGGCCTAATTTATTCTAATGTATTTTGTTTATGTAAAATAGTGTTCAACAAACAAAATACATGGAAAAAATTACCGAAGACCGAGTGCCAAGCTTAGATGTGAAGACCCATAATTAATTCTGAAAATTTTTCACCACGAGGATTTTATTAGACAAAGGTTTAGTACTAGTTTTAACTTTGCTCGTAACATCTATTACTTTTTTCGCGTCTGTGTGTACATTTTACAAAACTGTTTTGCCGGCGTTGAAAACGGGGGGAAAGCTATGTATGGGAATGTGTTAAATTGCGAAAATTATCAAAACAATGCGATAACATGTATGTAATGGGTGTTCTTTAATTTTAAATCTATTGAATTTGAATTAAAGGAATGAAGGCCAGCACCAAAAAAATGAAACACGACGCTACTGCAACACCACCGCACATGGAGGATGAGGTTGAGAACGTTGAATATTTAGAAGAGTGTGTCACAGATGACATCGAAGAGGTCGGTGAAAACTCGGCGGCCCATCGTTCCGCTGACATGGAAATTATATTTAAGGACACATTTTACCCAAATGCGGTGCAATGCCTCCTAACACTGTATCGCCACAAATACGACCAACAAATGAATGACCGACATGATGTACAAACTATGTATAACAGTATTTGGGACGATATTTCAAAAGATATGAGTGAGAGCTATTTTCAATTTAATGCCGATCAAGTTAAGCATAAATTCACACAACTTCGTCAGCAGTACTTTGCTGTATCGTCTAAAACGGAAGCTGAGAAATTTGAGTACTTTCATTACTTCCATGACATGTACGGTGATAAAGTCATTTCGGTATTACTGGGTGGCGATTCTGCACCAGTTCACAACGCCAATCAGCTTACTCAATGTATTTATCGTGATAATCTTCTATTTGATGATACAGAAATTCATGAGGCACCAAATAACCAAAAACAAACTGATGAGATTGCTCACAAAGAACATGAATTCATCAACATGGTGGAGCGCGAGCTTAAAGCAATGGCTAATGAAAGTAGCACTGCCAAACTCACAACTGAACCATTACATAATGACACTCCACAAAAGCTTGAACGAGAAGATTCTATTGAAGCCGATATTTTAACCAAGCATGCTTCAAAACGCCCTTATGTTAATGACACCACTTCACCTCTTTCTGTTACACTTAAGAAGCCAGAATCTGCTGAGCTAACACAATCTAATACTAATATGGAAGTTAGCAATGTTAATAAATGTGAAATGACACTTGCCGATTACAATGAGGCTCAACAACGACGACACGAAGAAAAAATGAATTTATTTCGCCAAACCCTGTTATTGCAAGAGCGTACCATAGAGGTGCAAAACAAACTTTTAGAGCAGTTGATAAAACGGGTTTAGTCATCATTGATATTCATCAGCATTCTGTGTAATTATTAAATAATGTTTTTCACAATAAAAGTCTTAAAGTAGTCATTGTTTTCTGCTTTTATCTTCCATAAGGGAGCTTCGAAAAGTCTATATGCTGTTCTCTAAGTATTTCTTGCAATTCCCTTTGCAAAAGTTCATGCATAGATTCCCCATTGTGTTTATATATCCATCGCCCCGACTGCGAACTAGTTGCCACAAAATCATACCGCTTTGGACCGCTGGTAGGTGAACTCAACCAAATCTGTTTATTAGGCGTTTGTCGATTTATCACATATGTACCATACTCTGGTCCTAGCTTCACAGTGAGAACTCCATCCTTTTCAGATCATATTAATGATATAATAAGTATTATTGTGTATTCAGTACTTACCCCGTAAGCGACATCACTGGAGGATAAAGTTTTAGCGTTTTCGATAAGTTCTTCAAGGTAGTCACATAGCGCATCTAGGGTCTCGGAGCAAACGCGTTCATATTTAATGCTATCCAAGGCGGATTCATTCGTGCCCTCCTTATTTTCATTTGTACTTGCATAAGTTCTGAAGGTTGTTCTTCCGTGACAAAGTGACAGAAAATACTTTGATGACAATCTTCTTACATACATAAGCCCATCAGGCTGTGATTTTACAAAAGTTCTGGGAACTTGTGTTATCCTAATCCTTTTTAGAGCACGTAAAATCACCAAACTCGACATTCTCAATGACCAAAAAAATCAGCTGTTCAAATATTGGGATGGAAATGGCTACAAGGGAGGCGGCAACACAGTACCAGTGTTGCCACAAAATTTACCAAATTCCTCAAAAACAAATGAAAAATCCTCAAAATCCGAACAATTAAAAATTACATTCTCCAATTCAATTGGTACAATTGTTCTTGCGGTTTAATCAAAGTATCACCCTTATTTTTTTTTGACTTGGTTTGTATATAATATTGCTGCAACTATATCAGAGCTCAATCTGGTCCTCAAGTCAGTCCTACACATTTTTAAACTACTACATATATACGTTCTACTGAANCCCTATAATTTTCTGGATGTAATGAAGAATCAATATGAGTATTCTTATGATTGAACAATGCGTGTTCTCTTCATTCGTTCATGATCCAACTACCCAAGATCTGACAAGATAAAGCAAAAGAAAAAAGTAATTTTCTGGCTGACGTTTGTAATTTCGGCGCCATGTTATTTTCTGTGAAAAGTAAACAAAGAATATGAAGACCAAGCATAAAGAAAATAATGCAAGCAATGTTGTAGGGCCTGAGTACACTAGCCTGCTCAGTAGGACTGAGCAGTCCACCACTCGAACGCACACTAGACTGGGCAGTCTGCCGAAAACAGGTTTCAGTTTTGTATATATGAACTACGCATGATTGTGTTTGTGCATGTGGCATATGCAAACAAAACGAAATAGAAAACATGTTGTCTATGTGTGCTTGTCAGTCCACCGTCAATCCGCGATTTTCGCGGACTGAAATGAGCGAGGTAAACTCGAACTCTCTTCCACCTCTTATCCACACAAAACCGGTTTTAGGCGGACTGAGCCAACCGGTTCCCGAGAATATGAGTATAACGGACTCAGGAGAAGGGTGTGTTAAATAACCCTGAACCCACTCCCTCAGGTTCCAGGGAACTGGCCCCAAAAGGCAGCTATCGGTAGATGATGCCGACGGCCCATCGAAGAGGCCTAAAACCTCTAGCAAGAACAGCCCGCCAAACCCTTCACGGGTCGCTCGGGCATTTAATGAAGTGGCCAAGGACCATTTGGTGCTGGCTGTAATGTACAGGGGGTACCCGGAGGGAAACCTGACGGCCGAGAATTGGAGAACTGTCCTTGTAGGTCTCTGCCGGGTGCATAAGGATATTCTCCAAAGGAATCTTGGCCCTGCTCCTGTCATTCGGGACGCTGGCCTATACCAAGGCCGTATTAAAATGGTAGCATGGCGCCGACGAAAGGTCAGCTCGGCTCTATAAGGAGGCGATATCTTCGCTTGGGGAACTGTGGCCCGGCGCTGACTTAGTGGCAGTGCATAGGGATGAAATCCCTTGTAGCCCGCGAGCCAGGGCATGGGTCCCGGAGGAACCCGCTAGTCCGTATAGGATTCCGAAGATTATCCAGATCTCCAACGATACTCTACCAGCCCTTGATAGGAGAGTAGTAAAGGTCAGTGAGGTTAGGGAACAGCAACGTTATATTAC